GCAGGCAGGCCTTCTAGTCTTGGCCCAAAATTTTATTCCATAACTTGCGAAATGGGCCTATCTAATCTATTGTCCATTTTGATCCAGATTTGCAAACCATAGTCTGAAGGAAGCTCTAATAATTAACGCCACCGCTTCCCTTCCTCGTCGGCGAAGAATCGGGAAATCTCGCAATCTCCCCCATCAGAGGAAGCCAAAGATTAGAAATTTTCGCGGGAAATTCTGTTTGGTGAAAAAATTGTCAATCAGAGACTTTTGATTTTTTTTTTTCCTCTCTCTTTTTAATTCCAAAATATATTACAGTGAAGTGAATTCTCTGAAGCAAAACATCTCTTTGATGAAAGGATAAAGGGCACGAAAAAAAGGAAGCGACTCATATAGTCATATCCCTATTCCAACAGTATTCCAAAAATTAAGGCACAATGAGTCATTAAAAGTATTTAAATCCATTTATTACTCCCTTCCTTCCACAAATGTTTTTTAATTTTATTTTTTGACTAAGAATTTGAGAATAATTTTAATTTTTATATATTTTATTTTTAAAAAAATAAATAAAATAAAAAAATATTTTATAAAAAATAAATAATTGAAATTAAGAGATAATAATAAAATTAAAATAAAAAATATTTATAAAAATAAATATTATTTTGAGATAAATTTTAAATTAAAACATTATTTTTAATACATGGAATACTATTTTATTTTAGTTTTTGATATATAAAAATTAAAGATTGAAGAAAAAATTTATAATTTTACACTCATATCATGTAATCGATGATAATATGCAATTTAATTATTAAAATAACATAATTTTTTTACAAAATTTATTATTTTATAATTCAAATTATATTAAATTATAAAATAACAACTTTAAAAGGAAGAAGAACTTTAATATGCAAGACTCAACTCTCATTTAATAAAGACTTGGTTTGATTATTCTATCATGTAATTGCAATTACAGATTTTTTAATTTGTTAATATTTTACAAAAATATATAAAATATATTTAATATTTATTTTAATTAATATTTTATATATTTTAAAATAATAAAAATTATAAAAATTATAAATTAAAAGGCTGAGAAGGGTTGTGAAGCCAAAGTGTATTTTATTTTATAATTTCATACCGTCCCAAACGCCAAACATCACTTATAATTACCGATTCCCAATTAAGAACTTTAAATCATGGGTGGCATGGCTAAATTGAGGAGCGATTACTTGCTAAAGGGAAAGTGCTGGGGCGAGTGCTCCTACCATTCCTCTTCACTGCATTACTGTTGACATGTCACATATCCATCATCCAACTGTGAGGTCGTACGTGGACCGCACGAGTAAGATCAATGAATTGTTTGATTTGCTTCTCTGGTATTTGTGGTGCCAAGCCAACTCAAAGAAAGCATAGCGCGGATCCACGGTGTTGGTCTGGCATTATCAGGAAGGATAATGCAGATGGGCACAACACAACACAACAGCCCGTATGGCTCCAAATCACGTCAGAATTCCAACGCCGGAAGGCCGGCCGAAAGTCAGGTTTTTTTGGTTTTTAATATGCTGCCACAGAGCACGCGCAGCGAGAGGTTAGTCCTGCTCCCAGATGAGTGTAACTTTCTTCTAAAAAAAATTGCAAAACTTAGATTGGAGGAATCTTTTTTCTATATAAATATCTAGACTTCTGATACAAATTAGATAGGACGCTACCACTACGAATTAGATAGGACACTACCTGTCTACCTTTAATGGGTGATAGTAGTGTTGGAATTATATTTCGTTGCCCACAAAAATGACAATGAGGAAGATATTTAAAATCTGCCTTTGCTCTGCAAATTGCACGCCACTCATTCATTCCAGTGGGTTATGATTATTGCTTATGATATTCTACAATATGCTATGCTGAACGTGGATGCCAATTTCACATTGATAGATTTTTTTTTAGTTTGTACCATTATGTTATGAGTTAAAAATATTTGTTTATTACAAATTTATATAAAAATATATAAAAATTATATTAATTTTAAAGTTAATATTAAGAGTATGAATTTAATTAAATAATTAATAAATTAAAATTAATTTTTATTTTTTAAGAAAATTTATTATAAAATATATATTTATTACGCATTCTCTTTACTTTATCAAACAATCAATGTGATAAATTTCTTTCAAATAAAAATAAAAATAATAATTAAAAAATTTTAAATTTAAATTATGAGTTGGTGTTAATAGAATACATTAATATATCAATTGTTTTCTTTATGTCAAATAAGGTAAAACGAACCCAAAAAAAAGGGGGAATTTTTGTTTGTAAGTGTTTCATCTGAAAACTAAAGTGTTTCTTTTTTAAAAAAAAAATTTCCTCCTAAGCCTAAATCTTTACAATACTACTGTAATATTACCTTTAAAACTGTTTTCCTGCTTGCTTTAATAGTTTTTCTTCGTTAATCCAAACATCTTGTTAGGTGTAGTCTTAGAAAACATTGTAGTATTCACTCTCTAAGCTGCATTTTTTAGTCAAAAGGCTAAACTTTTTCTTTGTTAGTACAATAATTTCTCATTGGCTAGCTTACTTTTTAGCTGTTTAAACGTAGAGTTGAAATTATATTATTATTATAGGATAAAAGTCTAAATTAACTCACCGTGCTGTTCCCCGTTCCTCCAGTCAACTACGCCTGCTGGAAGGAGGAGTATTATTTGCACTGTAGCATTCCAGTGCCATGTCTACTTGGTATTACTAATTTCCCGCTGTTGGAATAGACCCACCATCGACTTAAGCTCAAAAAGAGTATTATTTCTGATCGATTGTCCGCTCGAGGTGGTGAAAACAGCCCAAATACCCAAAAATGGACGCTTTAACATCCAGTCTTGCTGATGTGATGGTCTCCGCCCTCTTCAATTTTATTTCTGATCGATTGTCTGCTTCGGAGTTTCTCAACTTTGCCCGGAGAGAGCAGTTTTTGTCCCAACTCAACATGTGGGAGAACCTTCTGCCCAAAATCAATGCCCTGCTCCAGGACGCACAACAAAGCCACACCGCCAGTCGTGCCCTCAAACTCTGGCTCTCCGATTTAAGAGACCTTGCTTACGATGCTGAAGACATCATTGATGAAATTAACACCGAGGTCCAGCGCCGGAGAACACTAGGACACACCCAATCTGGCACCACCAGCAAAGTACGCTTGTTATTTCCCCCATGTTGTGCTGGTCTTAATTCAAGTGGCATTAAGTTTAGTGGGCGGCTGGGGTCAGAGATAGAAGCTACCACTGCTAGATTTCAACATATTCTTTTGCAAAAGAATATTTTGAATTTGGTGGAGAGAGGTGGCCAAGGGAGATTGAAGACAAAAATGGAAAGGCTGCGCTCTACTTCTTCTCTTGTTGATGAATCTCGGCTTTTTGGCAGGGAACAAGATAAACAAGTCATTCTTGAACGGTTAATGGATGGTAATACTGGTGTCATTTCAATCGTCGGAATGGGTGGTGTGGGCAAAACCACGCTTGCTCAGTCAGTTTACAATGATGATAAAATTGAGAACTCTTTTGAGTTGAGAGTTTGGGTTTGTGTCTCTACGGAATTCGATGTTATTAGAGTGACTAGGACTCTGCTGCAGGGTGTTGCTTCGGAGAGTCTGCCGCAGGGTGATACTTCGGAGAGTCTGCTGCCGGGTGATACTTCGGAGAGTCTGCCGCAGGGTGTTACTTCCGAGAGTCTGCCGCGGGGTGTTACTTCGGCGAGTCTGCTGCGGGGTGTTACTTCGGCGAGTCTGCTGCGGGGTGTTACTTCCGAGAGTCTGCCGCGGGGTGTTACTTCCGAGAGTCTGCTGCGGGGTGTTACTTCCGAGAGTCTGCTGCGGGGTGTTACTTCCGAGAGTCTACCGCGGGGTGTTACTTCCGAGAGTCTGCTGCGGGGTGTTACTTC